AAATAAAGCGAATGCCAAAAATAAGTAGAAAATTGTGCTGAACAGCAGTAGAATTCGAAAATACCAACAGATAAACGATACAGAAAAACAATGAATTGTAATCGAAATCGATACAAAAAATTGGATCGAATTCAAAGAGAAAAAAATGATAAAAATGAAGCCAAAAATAGAACAAAATGTTATCAAAACAAATGAAAAAGAGATTCAAACAAAAGAGGTAATCAATACAAAGGAACAAGACAAGATACAATCGATACAAATGAACAAATTCGAGTCAAAAGGAAGTACAATCGTACCTCCAACTTAGAGACTCCAACAATCGTACCAAACACAATTTCAATGAATCGAAAAAAGAAGAACAAAAATTCAAGAGCAAAAACCATCTCCGATTCGAAGATGAAAAAAAATATTCTTGATCAAAGGTTTATAAACCTTAAAAGGAACCAAATCAATAACATTTGGATGAGAATGAAGCTGAAAACAATTTATGATTGATGACTTTCATCGATGAAATTGGGGAATTAAACACAAATTGGAACGGCTTTGTAAAACTCTTTCATCCAGTTTTCGGTAGTTCGACTGGTAATTTCATGTAAACGGCGGATTATCAAGCCGACAATTGAAATATTCGGTTCTTCTTTCTTGTGAATTGAATATCAACACGAGTCATTCATTGAGTTATAGTATCATTGAGTTTGAAATTATCATTCTTTGTTTGAAACTGTCATTTTTGAAATTATTTCGACTTTTTCATTTATTCTGACCTTTCTTTGTCTTCCTCTTTCTTTAGTCTGACTTTTTCCACTGAAACTAATCCCGAAAGAGGAAAAAGTTACTTTCAAATGTAAAAACTTAATGCACATTTTTTTGACTTAGCTTTTGTTTACTTTAAATCAGTAGAATAAGACTGTCGGTGTGTTCGATGAGTCAATGAGTCGTCGCAAAGTGAGGCATTGTGTCTCAATAGCGATTATTGTTACGTGTAGCGAATATTTGCACGCGAATTTATGGTTCCGGCATTATTAATGCGGTCCAATCATACAGTCGATCACGCATACCGCACTCTTTCGTTCGTTCAATCCAATCATTAATTTCTTTGTACAGTCATTCAAATCAAAAGTTTCACACGCACGCTCGATCACACATCCAAAAGAATCGTTATAACTTCCTCTTATTGATATTCAATTGAATGAAGATTCTTGTTATTATTTCATTGCATCGTTTTCTCCAAAAATATCCATTCACTGGCCAGAAATAGCCGGCCGAAGGTCAAAGACATTGATCGCTTGCTGAAAATTTCGATATATTTAGTTTGGACTGTGTCGTTGATTGACCGTAATTGATTGAGCATGACTGTGCAAAGGTATGCCAATTGTTATTACCTATTGTGTGCACAATAAGTTTGAGTGCACGATCGATGCTTGACCCATGGTCAAGAGAGTGATTGTTTAATAGCAGCCGCAAAAAAAAAAATATGTGTGATCTTTATCAAAATTCCATTGGAAATTCTAATCTCGAATTCGTCACGACCCCAAAAAAATGTCATTTTAAGAGCGCAATCGCAACCATAACATAAATCATTGATCAAAGCCTCCGCGCTCGTGCACGTCATTCTCTCGATTTTTGTAACGGAATTTTTTGCGCTTCGATATGAAATCTAAATTGATGGTTATCAATTTGGCTTTTACCAATGAAAAAAAAAAACAAACAAAGAATCGGAACTCAGAAATAGATATTCAATTGATTTCAAGTGATTTGCAATGACAACTATCGCCATATGGGAGACTGTGAACAACAAATTAGACGCGAGCGTGCAAACCAATTCATGAAAATTGATTGTTTATTGGTTGTGATTTTATTTTTGCCAACGCCGTAATACTGTCCAAATATGGAGACACGTGGCCTCCGAACCTTCGACCGCCCGCCACCAGCCACTTGTTACGAGTGATTTCGGGCGAGAGAAAAATTGATTCTCGTCACATTTTTAGAAATGAGTCGTCTCATTTTTAGCATCAATCGGAAGGTTAGATACCCTTTTTATGATGTCGGATAGAGAGATGCGTCAGCAACCACACCAGACGATATGATTACGAACGCACGTCGATCGATTGTGATTGCGATTTTTTTGTGTGACACTTTAATTACATGATGGACCGTACGCACGACCGCCGTTTGATTGAAATGACGCAGAAAACAAATGAGAGCATTTTTTCGGTTGGCGTTTATCAATTAACATATTTTGCTATTGTGCTCGCGTCAAGCATTCGATTCATCTGCTTCATCATACACATATTTCCTATTTGCATTTTTTGTGATGATTATTGTTCTTGAAACACACGATGCGTGCGCGTCGATCTCAAATCAAAACAAACATTAGAGTTCACGATTAGTTTAGAGCATCACGATTGCGATGAACAATCGAACGATATGAAAATGCGCCACAAATAAATAGATCAATAATAATTGATTCTATTTTGGCAACAGCACCAACAAATGAAGAGAGAATAAATGCAAATTTTTTTTCGCCCGCGGCGCTTGATTCACCTCTCCACTCTTGACCCAGTTGCTGTATCTTTAGTTCGGTGTGGATAGTTTTAATTGCTATTTACAATTTATGGCATGGATCGTGTTATTCAATATGATCTTTCTCTTTGCGCGTGTCCGGGCCTGGGGGCGCCCACAATAAATATAAAACCCTTGAACACCGAAATGAATTAATCGAATTCGGGTTTGCGATTGTCATCGCTTATGAATATTCAAAGTGTTTGGTCAATTGAATCTTCATCGGATGAAAAGGCCCGATGACAACCGGCATTCACTTTACTTTCCCCGAGCATATCTTTCACCAATCATTAATCCGATGTTGGTAGCAACAGGCAAAAACATTTTTGCCTTTCTTTGGCTGTTATTCTTTTCGCACGTGCCACACTTTTTCACATTCGCGAGCCAGGTGGGGGGAGAAAAATAAATACACTCAACGTCAAGCCGTCACATCATTACCTCGACAATAATTGAGTGATTTGGCAGCGTTCATGGTATAATGGGCTTTTTTGATGGAACCAATTTAATAATGGCTCAAATGTAACGATCAATTTCTAATGGATCAGTCCATTGTTATGATACGAATACGCGTGGATTTTTTGTGCGAGAGAGTGAACAAACGATTAAAGCGACAGCGATTGGAAAACAAAGCATGTTGAAAAGAAATCACACTTCCGTGAATTTTAAACGAATCCGCTCTTATTCGCTGTGCAACCGGTTAACGGTGCTAACGTGAACAACAGAGAAGAAAACACACACTCGATTCTTGTTTTGGTCGTATCATACACGGATTAAACAGTATTTTTCGAACGGATTTTTCTCTCTTATCCTACACACCCAATGAAAAGACTCAGAATCATGACTTCAACATCATCATCGACCGGCGGAGATGGTTGCTTTACTATTTCTAATCAACGGCCAATACAGGAGACACTTAAGAAAAAACCAATTGTTCCATCCTCACTTCGTAAGTATTTGCTCAACACAATACGCTAGTTGGCACATCCAAAGAAAATTCGACATAGTTTCGTTTTCAGTTCGGCAAAATAAATCGCACAAATTCTTTTCAACTGGATAAAAACGCCACATTTTGATTTTTTGTGTTTTTCGTTCAAATTGAAACAAAATCATTCATTCGTTTAAACTAAAACTCAAAAACGAAAACGTTTGAACCAAAAAAAAATCGGATTCAAAACCAATTGATTCATTATGAAATGGCCATAATACTTTTTCGTTATTCCAATTCGCACGATCCGGATTCAAACGCGTTTTGCATACGTGCAGGCGCCATTGTTTATATTCATAACACGTTCCGACTCTCATTTCAAATTCAAAGCCAAGCACAACTGGCTGATGATTTTAACAATATTCAGTGCTTACACAGACCGATTGCGTTTGTGTTCATGTTGACACAGATGTTTTTTAATCGATCTTTTTCGATTAATTTTAAATAAATTAAATGATTTCATAACAAAGTGATTTCTCTGACGGTTTCGGTTTAATGAATTCATCGATTTTTGTGAAGAAAAAAGAAAGAAAAATGGATTGTAATGGGTGAAGTTTGTTTGTTTGCTGAGAAAGATATATTCGAAGAAAATAAATTGCAGTCAGAAAAAAAATGCGTTCGTTGGTTACAACAGACTTGGTTTAGGAAGAAAAACGTATTTATTTTCAAAGAAAGAAACTTGTTCAGATTAACTTTTTTCCACAGCTTTTTGAATAACACTTTTTCTTAAAGAATTTTTTTTTTTGCTTCAACGCGATTTTTTTACCGAAACTACGATATTTTCCCCAAACAAATGTTTCTTTGTATAAAGAAGAGACTTGTTTTTCTTTGCGAAAGAAAAATTGCCCTAAAAAATGATTTTTCTTCTTCTGGGAGACGATTGAGTAATGATTTTTTTTCTTTTATAATGAAAAATTGCGTTAGAAAACGCTGAAGAAATAGAAAATAGTTAAAAAAAAAATGATTGAAGAGCCGATTGTTATCAAACGAGCAATATTCGTTTTATAAACAAAAAAGAACCGAAAATTCCCTTTGTTCTTTACATATAATCGGCGAACGCACCCTGTGCAACGAATGTATATCACATCACATTACATCGCGCGGTCTAATTTGAAAGTACTTTGTCGCTACTGGTTGACAAAACAAGAGGTGCTAAAAATAGTGAATGAGCTGCCGAATATTCAGCTCATAATCGCTTAATCGTGTGTATGATGACACGCCACCAATACACAGACGATGTGATTTACATTACAACTCTGTGTATAAATACGATGGATACGAGCGAAGCTGAACTGGTTTTGGTATATTTTCGGTTAAAAAAAGAGACGCATATAGTACGAGACATTGAATAGTCGAGAGTGAGTTGGAAAGAGGAAGCGATGGAATTTTGGTGTCAAACCATATGATATTGACACACCGTCGGTTTGTAATGCGTATGCGCGTACAGAGCCATGTGTTCGCTATGGTTGTGTGTATCTGTGTGGCTGTCAATGTGAGCCTGACTGTGATACGAGAGATCCGAAGAATAGAAATGAAAACAAAATCTCTCTCGATGCAAAAAAAAAAATTAGAAACAGAATAAAAAATAAACAAACAAATCACAGCAATAGATTTTTGTTTAGTCGCCAAAATAGAAACGGATTTGTCGAATCTGCTACGATTGCGGTACGCGCATCGTCGTCACATCCATATTCGATTATTCGCGCGTATCAGATAATAATTTACAACACACCAGCGAGAGACGAAGAAAGAAAACGGGGTCGATTGACGAAAATGTCAGCCTATTCAAATGGCTAGTGGTGCAAAGTAAATTTATTTACCATTTGCATACACACGACAGACAATAAAAGACGACCAAACCGAGAATATTCCGCGATTTAACGAACTGGTTGCACGAAAAAATTGAGACGTTCAATAATCGGTTCGTTGAATTTGTGAGTGACAGACCAGCGACACGCAGCACAAACAAGCACACCGTTGAAATAAACAAATATCAGCATTGTTTTTTATTGACTCTCGTATTTTCTATTGTTTTAAATAGTGATATTTTCGAACGCACAATTTTCAAACGCACAAACTCGACGACACACACGCATCAGTTTAAACAAAAAAGTGAGAAATGTTCCCAAAATTGACGCAAAAGGTGAATTACTTGCTCATCAAGTGTTCAATTTGATGTGATGATTATACAATTGGTTTCTTTTTTGGTTTTGTACCAATTTGCATGCGAACAACAAATTAACGGGCGAATTAGAGAGGTGAAACGCCCGTTTGAACACTGAACACGCTTGAATTTTTTTCTCTATTTAAATTTAAAAAAAAATATCGCCAAAAAGTGTTGAAAAGCGTTCAATTCAATTATTCGATGATAATAATGATTAGAAACGGATGATAAACACGACATTGAAATTTGACTATGGTGCCTCGCGACACCGGGCAAAGAATGACGAAGGTGCCATGTGTTTGTTGTTGATGATGGCACATTGTGTACTGTTGATGCTGTTAACAAACTTTGTTTCTATTTTTTTTTCTTTGGCCGTTGTCACGTTGCGGTTGCTATAGCATTAGTATACTCTTATAGGACGCGTTCCCATTGTGACAGTTCAATTGTGTGAAAATTTGCTCTACAATGTGTGTTTTTTCTCTCGATTCGTCGCAAAATAAAAACAAAAAAAATTCCTATTCGCTGTTCGCAGCTGCTTGAATGGAGCGAACCAATTATCAGCAAATTACTAATAAAAATTATCATTCAAATTCCGAATAAAACCCAAAGAACATTTCCATATTTCGCACATTTTACATAATATTTCCAAATAGTACACACATTTATCTTGTGGTCACGTCAATTCGGTTATTTTATTGCATGCCATTGGAAATTTGCGTTTCACACGTTGTGTTCGATTCAGGCGTTTGCGGTTCAACAGTCGCGCGTGTTATCTACCTTCCGATTTTGCAATCTGTTCACCGTTTTTTTGGTTCATTTGTTTTATTGCTGTTATTTATCATTTTCGTTTTTGGTTTCTTTTCATTTTGTGTTTCATAATGGACTTTCATCGTCGTAATCGTCGTGCACGTTTCTACGTACTGCAAACAGGATTCAACGCTTCTGTGATGGAGGGTTTCTCAAAATTAATTGCCGAAGTGCTTGGAACAGCGTTTCTGATGTTTGGCGGATGTATGGGTTGCGTTGGTTGGAAGGGACCAGCGCCAGATTTTGTGGGTGCAATTAGCTTCGGTTTGGTTGTTATGACTCTCATTCAATGCTACGGACATATTTCTGGTGCACATTTCAATCCAGCTGTTACTGTTGCTGCTGTTGTCTTCCGTGCTATTTCTATTCCGGTGAGTTTTCAATATGAAAAATCCATTTGTTCGCAAAGCATTGCTTTTTACGAATTTTATTTGAGGAATTTTTCAATTTCGATTCCATATGTTGATAATTTGTATTTTTACTGGGAATATTTGATCCTTTTCCAAGATAGTACTGATCAATTTAACACTTTCCAATATTTTTTTCCTCTTTCCAAAAATATTCAAATCCAATCTAATACCATTTCTCGGCGCTTTTTCTTCCACAGATGGCAATTCTATACTTTTTTGCACAAATAATTGGCGCCACAATTGGCTATCGATTCTTAGTCGCAATAACACCAATTAAGGCCCTAGCTCAAAGTGAAGGCGACCACGGTTTCTGCCAAACAGCTCCACACGAAGATCTCAACGAAGCTCAAGCATTCGCATGCGAATACATCGCAACCACAGTGTTGATCTCCGTGTGCTGTGCCGTGTGGGATCCAAGAAATAGCACCAAACAAGATTCAATTCCCATTAAATTTGGACTAGTCATCGCCGTTTTGTCGTTCATTTTCGTAAGTATTGACAAAACAAAACAAAACAAAAACCGATGTTCTGTTTATATTGAACACAAAGAGTTTGTTCATTTCGGTACAAAAAAAAAAATTATTTGTTCGACACCAAAAAAACATCCATTCTCATTCAATACACAAACCGAGCAATTACTCAAAGAATGGATGCATGTTATCGTAAAATCTCAAAAAAGAGTATCAAAATGATTGATTCCATATCAATATTGTCCACAGTCAATCAAAGTTTGATAAAATCTCCGCTTATCAGCTTAATGATTAATTACTTTTTTTTCCATTTTGCAGGGCCCATACACTGGCTGCTCAATGAATCCTGTTCGTACATTCGCTCCCGCGTTTTGGGTGCAGAAATATCCAATGCATTGGGTAGGTTTCTTTTGAATTTTATTTTATTTCAATTTTTAGACAATATTCGGGCAATTTTCGGTCAACTTTCAGTCAATTTCTAGGCAATTTCATTTTATTTTAAATGAAATTTTCTTTATTTTTTCATAAAACCAAATAAATCAATTTTCAAAAAAACCTTATCTAAATTTCCCTTTTCATATTTCTCCATAGGTTTACTGGATCGCACCGATGTCGTCAGGGTTGATCACATCATTGGGCTATAAACTTCTGTTTATCGAGAAGCCGGAAATCGATTTGGAAGCCGTGCAACCGTTGCGTCAAGATGATTTGCCAAAAGTCTAAACACAAATTGAATCTGATCGAATTTTTAATCCCGCAAAAGCCACAAACAAAATACAACGAAAAAATGAGGGAAATCCACTTAGACTAATTTTACACCGAGTAACATTTTGATGATGTTTATTTTTGGTTTACGCGATTCGTATAACTACTCCGTCTATGCATAGGTTTAAGCAATTAATTTTTAAAAAAAAAAACAACAAAACCTACAATTTAATTTATTCTAAGATTTGCCCACAAAATAGGTTGTAAGATGTGAGAGAGGAAGAGCTAACAAAAATGGATTTGTTCAAATTAGTGGCTTTCTTGCCTATAAGTGACTTTTATCAGGAATGTGACCTCTTTCAGGGATTTTTGTGCATGTGAAGTGTGTTTGTTTGACCTAGTCACAATCTTTCCCCTCACTTCCTTCACAAAAATCAACTTTTTTTTTCATTGAATGGTACAAAAGCGACCTGTATCTAACTACGCTGCCAAAATATGAAGAAAAAAAAAATTGATGATGAAAAAAATTAAAAATGATTTACAAACAAAATGAACAGAAGAAAAACACAGCCCACGGAAACATTGAAATCCCATCACACTAAATTTAGGCTTCCAATTGAGAAACTTTGCAATTTTACAGAAAAAACATTGATAAAAACAAATAATCTTATGACAATGGCAATCGAAATTGTCTCTAGTTAGGCGTCGAATAGAAAAAATTTAGAAGTAGGCACAAATTGCCTATCTCCAGAGATTAAGACAAAGACTTGTGTGTTGTAATAGTGAAATATTTCGTGCATATCGAACTTAAGTGATTCTAAACTGACCATTTTTTGGATATATACCGAGTGCAATTGCTCAAAATAGAAGTGTATTCTTTGCAAAGCGACGCGCGCGCGTTCCTTTTTGTCAAAATTGCACACGTTACTTGATGTGATGATGGGATTTAACTGTTTGTACGTGACAATTGACGAACCAAATTGGCAATAATTTATTTCAATTTACAATTTTTGGCTCAATTCTTTTTTGTCTCCTTTCATTTTGTCACATCCGCAATCAATTGTAAATAAATTATGAATCGAATGTTATCGTTACGTTTATAAAGTCTATAAGATGGTATCAATAAAAGAAAAACGTCTTAAATTCAATGGATTTTCAATTTATTTTGCATTTTTTTCCAGGACCGACGGTGTTTTTGGGTGAATGTTGACACTATACGCCTGAGAAATTATCAGTTGTTCTCGTTCAATCTGATCTTGGGCCGAAATTGATTTTTTTTTTAGAAGAAAAACATTTTCTTCGTTTTTTCAACAGAAAAAGTCGATTTTCTCATGAATTTTTGATTCTTTTCTGAACAAAAATGGGCTTTTTTCTACAGGTGGGCGTTTTGCGATTACTTAATCACTTGCACAATCATTTTTCGGATGATTAAGATGGCACTTAATCACTTAATCGCTATTAATCATGATTAAGTGATTGTGCAATTGATTAATCATCGATGATAATTAAGTTGTTATCTTAATCACGATGTCGCCGTGATTAATATAACAACTTAATCATCATCGATGATTAATTAATCAATTGCACAATCACTTTATCATGATTAATAGCGATTAAGTGATTATCAAGTGGTCGTATTAATCATCGCGAATTTTGGGTGTTTGATTAAGATTAATTAATCTTAATCAGATAGTCCGCCCATCTGTACAGAACATGAATACATATTGAAACCGTAATAAAAAGAAAAAAGCGGCAAAAGTGGGTTGCGTTTAATTTCTGAGTTCATTCTTGCAGCGATTTTCTTCTCCAACGAAAAAAAAACAGATGGGCGGACTCATCTGTACTTTTTTCTACTTTCTCACGGTAATTGAGAGAATTGAAAGTTTTTTGAATTGAAATATATCCATAAATTTGAATATATATTCAAATTGCCACGGCAATCGACGAGCCGATGTCAGATTTTCATGTTGAGATATGCTTATATCAAGTTGATATTATCATCTGTACCCAGACGTGTGCAAGGTCAAAAATTCTAGGGGGGGGGGTAAAATGATTTTGCCAGGGGGG